CCCTGTGATTTGGGACAGGGGGCTGCGGGTCGCGCAGGTCACGGCCGCAGTCTGACAGGGAAGCCCAGGCACTCTGCCGGAACTCAGGAATCCCTCCCACAGGGATAGGGGTGTTTCCCCATGCTTTGGCCAGGCCATCTCGGCGTGACTCGTGTTTATCTCAGTGTTATTTCCAGCTCGGGGACAGCCCTCTACCCCACTGTGGCCAAAGTCAGCACTTGCATCGTTACCATTTATTCCTTCCTGCTATGAAACAGGCCACTATAGCAAACTTTGTCTGAGACTGCTCAGTGTTTGAAGGGCAATTTTACGTTTGCACAAAAATGAGCATCCTTTCATAGGAGCAATGAGTTTTTCTACCAGAAATCATTCTGGCCTTTTACCATACAGCTCAGATACAGAGCAGTTGCTAGACAATTAGCTACACACCCCAGGAGCAATGGTGTTGGCTTCTCCTTGTGCAGCATCACTGCTATGCATCCAGTGGATCTAAAATCTCAGTCTGCACATTCTCTTTGGATTCGGTCTCATGGGATGCAGCGCTGTCACTACTTTGGCCGTTGCATCCTGCACAGCAGAGCTCTTCCCCTTCCAGATGGATGTTTATCTTGGGTTTATTATGGTGATGACCCTAAATCCAAATCCAGCTTAAGGCATTCAGAGCCTCCTGCTGGTTTAAACCACACTTGCCTGTCCACAACTGCCAGGTGTACACAAGGCACCCTCTTACAAATGTTGCAAGAAATAGGGCAAAGGTTCCCACCCAAGGAGAAATAGACCCATGTTTTGGGTCCTAATGGAGATTGACCCTTCTGAGAAACCTTCTGGGTATCTTAGGACAACATGATAAAATAATCAAAGTAGACCTGGTCACCTGGACAGACACAGCACATGTCAGACTGCTTCAGTAGGGTTATTCTCCTCCATCACCTCACATGTGTCAGGAGTGAAAAATTCATCCACTGTGAGAGTGGGCAGTGAGGTTGAGGAGAACGTTACAAGGGGTAGATATCCTGGATAGTTGCATGAAGGGCAATGTATCAGCTGGGAGAAAAACACCTTGACAACACTAGTTGTGTTCCCCCAAGCACAATCCCAGTGGGTGACTTGCCTGTTCCCCAAGTAATAGGAAAAATAAGTGAACCTGCTGGTGAAAATATAGATTATCATACTTGTGTTTCCAAAGGTTGCTACTATATGTAGTCAATGAATCTGTATTGAGCCGGCATGAAAAAGTGGAGCCTCTTGAATTTTTTTTTAGAATTGGCAGATACTTGGCGTATTCTTGAAGATGTGAGCAGAAGAATCGTGTAATGTCATGGATGTGGAGGAGTTGCCAGCCTATGTCTTCGGGGGTGGATTTATGATGTGGAGGAAAGCGAGAAGAATTTGCCGAGGTGATTTGGATCCTCGGAGAAGTAGGAGGAGTTCCCCCCGCTACAAAAGTAACCCAAACCGGGAGGGACGCAGAAACCCCGGGAGGCAGGGCCGTCCCTCCGGGCCCAGCCCGCCCGGCCGGCGGCACTCCGGGAGCGCTCCGGGGAAAAGGCGCCTTTCCGCCGCCGGTGTGCGGGAACGGAGGGGCTGGGCAAGCCCTCGCTTCTCACACCTCTCATCTGCCTTCGCCTCGGCCATTGAGTCCCTCTTAAATGTATGTGCGTACATACATGTACGTACCCCTCGCCTCGGCCGCATCGCCTTAGAGGAGGTTTACCCAGAGAGACGGCACTGCCATAGCGCTTTATTGCAATATAATGCGCCGGGGGAAAAAATAGAAGGGGCTCATTATTGTGGTTGATAAACATGGGAAAAGCACATGCCTGACCTTTCATTTGTACAATTAATTGTTCCAGCAGAAAGAAAATGAGTCTTAATTGTGCACAGCTTCCTAGAGGATCAGCTGTGTGTGCTCCTCTGCGTTCTGAGAAAAACGCTGTGAAGTTTTCCTGGAGGCTTTTGCTTTCCACTAGGGCAATAACAAGAAGAAAGAAAGATTTCTATGTCTCACCCCTCTTCTGTCTCAAAAAGGAAGGATATTGAATTATAGCCATATTTCAGTGACCTGCAGCATTTCCTTCAGTTTTGTAAAACAGGCTTTTCCGCTTGTCCAGTGCTATTTCGCCCCCATAATAAGGAAATTTTTAATAATGCACAACCAAACTCCATTTGAGAGATCAAGGGTTAGCCCAGAGCTGCACCTTAAACCCGAGCTCAGAGTTTAGCTGTCAGATCACGTCGATAGCAGCGGGTGGGTGGTCAGGGTTAGGAACGGGACTTCCCAAGCCCTGCTGTGCTGGTGTCCAAACGGGGTGTGAGCTGCTTGCGGGCTCTGAAGGGGCCGCTTCCTGTGTCCTCCTGCAGGACTCTCGGCATCCAAAGCCTCCCTCAGGAAGCGGACCTCCTTGGTCGGTGACTGCGGACATCAGCCACGGCGAGCGGAGGGACAGAGCGCCGCGGAGGGGAGGGAGGGGACGCTCCCTGGACGCGCCAGGGGACAGTGAGCGCCGGGGCCGCGGAATGGACGGAATTCCTCCCTCAGCACTGACAGTCCCGCCGGCCCCGGGGGGCTGAAGCCCCCGGGAGAGCGAAGTTTTGGTCCTTTCAGAACCGCCGGAAAAGCTCTTTTGTCTGGCCGCTGTTGATGATTAATAACCCCCGGCACCGATCCTGCCCTCGGCGTCGTCCCTGGGGAGCCGCGGGGCTCAGCCCGCCCGGTGGAAAGACATCGAGCCCTAGCCGGGGCGCGGATGAGATCCTGCCTCGGGAGTGTGACCGTCTTAACTTCTTACCAAAACCGATTTTTAATCTCTAAATCACAAAGGGACACATTCTGTGCTCCTTAATAGAGCACAAAGTCCATTGACTTCTGTCCCATTGACTTCAATGGGAGTTTCGCTCCATTAAGAACCGCAGAATTTGGCCTAAACTGACCGCAATAATTTTGTTGCCGGTAATGGAGCTTCAAAGCCCTCTCTAATTAGCCGACTAGCAAGAATCGTTAAACATGCTGTACAATTCCGAGTGTGCTACGTGGGGGCTACGGAACAGCTGAGCAGTCCCCATCAGACCTGGAGAAGCTTAGAAACCGTGTTCAGCGAAAATTCCAGCTTTCCGGAGACAACCTGGGGACAAGGGTGTCTGACCAGTCACTTAATATCTGCTGCGTTAGTGCCCGAGCCTGAGGAAAGAGATGCTCTGAAAAGTTATGAAAGATCTGATCTTACACTCGGCTTTTGCCCCCCTTCGAAGACGCATTTAAAGAATCACCGTGTACGCTGCTGCTCCTATTTATCAAAGATAAACCAAATTAATTGTGTTTATCCTTAGCCCGGAGCACTCCTAACGAGTTACGCTAAATCCCTGAGCGCCTGCGAGCAGTAAGCAGCTGCAGTTTGGGCTGGGATGATCTTCACTAGGATCAGGCACCTTCACGTCTCGCTTTATGACTAGCACTTTTCTCAGTACGGGGGCGGGGGTAGAGGGGGAAACACAACAGAAGCAAATTCAATCCACTTTAGCTGAATTCTTCTGTAAAGGCACTTTCATTACAGCATACTCCTGGGCACAAACTCCTTCCTCAATTCTGCAGCTGTAGATCCAGCAGCGCCAACAAATATTTCGCCAAAATTTAAATTTAATAACCTGATTGTTATACACATACATTTAAATCCCTGCAGACTGTCTACTACCTGTAAATTTTAAACTGGAAAAAAAACCCGTTTTCCTCTTGAGATCAAATATTGAAGTAGTGAAAATGGAGTAAAGGCTTGCGATCCTTCAAGGTGAAATGCAGAAAGAAGAAAA